CAGAAGTTTGCAGAGATTTATATATATACACATATAATAAGATTTTGATGTATAAATTATGTTATAAAATTATAAATGTAAGAATTTAATTAATCTTTAATGAAAAGTATATGAAAGTCATTCATGAATGTGATCTTTAATGAGCAACAAATTACATGATAAATCTGTAATTTTATATGAGAATTTCTAAGAAGTAGAAAAAATATATATATTAAGGCTTATTAGATATCAAATTGCATTTTTATAAACAAGAAAAATGCCATTATACTTAATTATTCATCTTAAATTATTTAAAATTTTTCTAATTAAATAATTTAAATTCAGTTTAAAAAAAAACAGGTTTAATTCATTAAATTTCAAAATAGCACAATGTTACTATTATATAATTTAATATATGTTTTTTTTGTTAAATTGTATTTTATGCATTTAAAAATAGATACAATGTGCAATTATTTACATTAAGTATGCTATGTGAGATTTTATTTATTTATTTTTTCGTATTAGCGCTAAAAATTATAAATTTAAAATAATTAAAGCGCTTTTATTTAAAAAAAAAAATAATAGAAAAATTTGATACCATTATGCAAAATTTAATCCTTTATTAAAAACTTTTTAATTAAAAGATGCTATCGCTGTTTCTTCAAATCACTATATAATTAGTATTTAATGCTATTAGTAATGCTTCGTCAATATTATGTAAAATATGTTTATTTCTAAACGAATTTTTCGTTTATGAAAAAAAAATGTAGAAATATTTTAATTTATAAACGAAATAGACACAGTTCTAGAACTTTTGTCTATTTCGATTTATTTTTCAAGCTGAAATTCACATAATTCTAGAATTTTGATCACTTTCACATTTAAAAAGTTAAAATAAATCAATTTCAAGAATTAAAATTACTATTAAAATTTTTTTAAATATCAATTTCACTGAAAGATACAAAATAGACATTTTTCTAGAATTATCATCAATTTCATTATTCAAGAGTGAAATAGACATATTTCTAGAAAAATTTTTAAACCAATTTTAATTAAAAAATTAAAATAAACACATTTCTTGAATTTTCATTAATTTTTTTAAAAATTAAAATTAAATATATTTTTAGGAGTTTGATTAATTTTTGTGACTGAAGTAAGAAATATACTTTTAGATTTTTTATATCAGTTTAGTGAAAAGCATTTATTAATATTGTAGAAAATGCTTATTTTATCTCTTGTTTTGAATGAAGTTGATAGAAAAATTTCGAAAAAATACATTTATTTCAATTTTTTGAAAAATGAGATTGATGGGTACTCTATAAGTATGTGTATTTTCGTTTTAAATGATGAAAATGATGAATAATGTAGGAAAATATGTTTATTTTATCAATTTTATATGATAAAATTGTATTTCTAGAATTTATTTTTATTTTTACTTCTTACTAATTTCAACTTTTGTTACTAAAACCTAGAATTAATACAAGCTTTTAATTTAAAAAATTGAAATAAATGCATTTGTGGAATTATTAGCACGTGCTTTTTAACACGTAGGTGGTGTGTTTCGACATCACTCACTTTGTCCACTACGTCGCGCTACGCTCCGCACTCTACGGAGTGACGTCACATTACGGCGGAGGTAAAGCGAGAGGAGAAAGCAAAGCCATCCCGTCACATGGTTCGATTCGATCAGACGGCAGGCAGACTCCGTTATGGAAACTGGGAAGTGTGCCAAGTGTGCCAACGAAAAAGTTTGGACTAATATAACCAATCAGGACGGTAATGGCAGTGAAAAATGGGATGTAGACAATTCAAATTTTTTACAATGGGCCAATGACGAAGAACTGATCCTAAGAATATTCGGATCCGTCATTTGTGGACTGTTGATAATCATTACCCTTGCAGGAAACGTATTAGTTACGGTTGTGGTTTCAAGATTTAGGCGCTTGAGATCTGTGACTAATGTGTTACTCGCCAGCTTAGCCACTGCTGACATCACAGTGGCACTCCTAGTCATGCCTTTGTTAGTTGTATACGATTTAGAGAGGCGTTGGAGATTCGGACCCATTGCATGCCATTTGTGGATATCCTGTGATGTGATGTGTTGCACGGCCTCGATTCTTCACTTGTGTGTCATTGCCCTCGATAGATTTTGGGCCATTACCAAGCCGTTTCGGTACCAATCGTTCGTGTCAAAAAGAAGAGTGGGCCTAGTCATACTTGGCATATGGATATGTAGTGCCGCCATTTCTTTCATACCCATTTTCTTAGGTTGGTACAGTGACGGTACCTCTTCTCTCTTCGATGACGTAGTCGATTGTTCCTTAAAAGTTAACTTAATTTACGCTGTGGTCTCTTCGATGACGTCGTTTTACTTGCCACTTCCCGTTATGTTTTATGTGTATTTTCGTATACTGATGGTAGCCGAGAAACAATCGAGAGAAATTAAACAGTTGGAGCAGTCGTTACACGGTGCGGATCACAGGATCCGTAGGAGTATCAAGCAGAGATCCAGGCAATTAATTACGGATACGAAAGCCATAAGAACGCTAGGGATCGTCATGGGTGTATTCTGTGTATGTTGGCTTCCATTCTTCCTCATGTACGTTATATTAGCTTATTGCCCAAATTGTAATTTGAGTTACGAAGTTAGGAGTGGCATAACGTGGTTGGGGTACTTCAACTCAGCTTTCAATCCTTGCATATACGCATACACCAACAAGGATTTTAAGGATGCTTTCCGTCAAGCATTATGCTGCAAACGTGATTTCGATCGTGATTGCAAGAAAGGCGAAGATGGTAATCTCTCGAACAGCAGAAGTTTGCAGAGATTAGATCGAGTGCAAACCGGATTTGCAAGCTCTGACCTTCGCACTCCTTCAGTTACTATCGATAGCAATACATGGCCTACACCGTCACCGACTGTAGTAAAGTGAAGATTATAAGTATCCTATCTGTATACAATATACATATACATATATATATTTATTTTTGTGTTTATATTGCTTCTGGAACGAGTGTTTAAATAAGTGATCACCAAAATATTCTACGTATATTTTATGAAACAACAATGGAAAAATGTCCTGTATGTACGTGAGTAATCTGTTTCATTGACAAGTAAAAATTATTGTTTGACAAATTGTTCCTTTTTTGTTTATATATATATATATATTTTCTTTTCGTTTTAATTTTAATAAACCAAAGGGGAGGTAAAAATATAGAAACGTGACATTGTTTATTTATTTAATTAATGCTGTTTCACAATAGTACAAACGGTTGAGAAATACATTTATGTATAATTTCCCATATGATATATTGCTATAATATTAAGTTAAATGTGATGCGGGAGTGACAAATTTACTAAAAAATCGAATAAAAAATATATTATAAAATAATAAATGCATTATTTTTAACAATTTTTTAACGTTTAAATACTAGTAACACGCCATTATCACGTTCTTCAATCAGACTTCAATCACGTTAATTAAAAATAATACGACAATAGTAATAGAATTTACGTACATAATTACTCTTTTACAATCATGTATAATTAAAAATACAGGTTTTTATTGTTATAAAATTATAATTTATGCTACATTATAAAGAAGAAGATGCGAAACACTAATGTCGTTTCTTCTGGTAAAATTTTATTTATAGACAAAATTTTTTTTGTTGTTGTTTAATAAATAATTTAAACATTTTTTAAGTAATAAACGAGCTTTTACGTTCATTTATTTCCTTTACACGTTACTTGTTTTCTTTTATATTCATATGTATATATAATAAATATATTGATGTCAAAAATATGATGTTTCCATCTGTCGCCTGTAAGCAAAATTCGAGAAATTCGATCAAGGATGACATCTTAATGTACTTTAAATTCTAATATCAATTTTTCCATTCTTCCTTTATTAATATATAAATATAAAATTTGATGTTAAAGTGTTAAAAGTAAATTAAATTGGACAATATTTTTTATTAAGTAAATTGCTCGAATGTATTATTTTATTTGTTGTTTTTTTTCTATCGTTTAATTTGATTCCTAAATTCCTATATTGTTTCGATTTTATACACTTATGAGTTTATATATAAGGTGGCTTAAATGTCAGTTGACCAAGATATTTTTCGAATTCATAAAAAAAAAAAACTCTCTCTTGGTTAACTGACTTTTGGGCCACCCTACTTATACTAAAATTTATATATAATTTTAATATATTTTTTTACGTGAACAGTTAAAACTCTTATTAATTATTTAAAGATTTTGCTACGTGGTACTAATTATCAATATTTGCTCGAGGTAAAGTTAAAATAACGCATCCTTAAAAAATATTGATTCTAGACTTTTAAAATCGATATTTTTTCTACTTATAACTAATCAGTTGCACTATTTATAACATTAATTATATATATGTGTATATATTGTTCACTACTTAATTGTTAACTTGTTAGCTCTACCAGAGAGAGAAATTCAATACTTTACGACGTTTATATTTATATCTCTTATATCTATTGATATACATGATTTAATTTTCTTTACCCAAATCAATAACCTTTATACTTGCACCTTAACCATATTTATGCGTAAACATTGTTATACTATTATCTACTTTTACCTACATACTGTACTGTGTTAGGTATATATTGGCTATGTCTATACGGCAAACCAGCTGTCAAGTATAACATATCTATGTAATACCTACATACATACTTCATTGTCTACATACATACACCATGCCTAAACGTAACTACACTGTTACGTACTGTACTACTTATATGTGTACCTCTAACTAACTAAGTCATTATCCCCAAGTCTGTGTAAACTATTTTCTGTAACTATGCATACTTTATTTTAACGTAACTATAATTAAATTATAGATACACAATTATCGATTTTTATATGTAGATATTTTTATCTTATCCATCTTATGTTTCATCGGTATTTATCTCTAATTAAGTGTTACAGTAATAAGATTTTTAAGTACGTTCTAGCGATAAATAATAATAATAAAAACAATTTTAAAAGCCCAAATTCTTTCAGTCGATCTTCAGGATAAAATTTGAAAAAATTTAAATAAAATTTATTTTTAAAAAACGAAAAAAATTTATAACATATTTACAATTTTTCTGTTTACAATTTATTGTTTTTTTAAATAAAATATTTTATTTTACATTTATTTATACATACAATCAATATATGAAAACATATTTCAGTATTTTTCGTTATTAATTTTTTTTCAAATGATTACTTTATATTCGTAAAACAATATTGTTTATATATTTATATATTATTATGTTAGCTATAACATTAAAAAATATTTTTAAAATGTAATTAAATTTCAAGAAATGCTTATATAAACATAAGTAGTTCTTAGTTTTATATACGTAGAATAAAGGGAAAAAAATTTAAATTTTCCGTAACGTTGATTGGTTAAAAATGTCATTTGTTTGTTGCCGATTGGCTAAATGAGATAAAGTAAACAAATTTCAAATGTTTTTGTTTTTTATCTTCAAAATTTTGCAAAGGACCGTCTTTATTTATTTTTTCTTCAATAACTACACTTCTAAACTTCTATACCTGCATATTAATTAAATTGAAGCATAATATTATAGATAAACACGTGCCTTTCATTTATGTAGATCCATATTACGAGTTACTCGGTTACACAGTAACACATTAATTCGCAACACGTAGTTACATTGGTTACTAGTAGCTGCGTAACTACGAGTTACACAGCTGCTACGAGATAAAATAGAATTAATGATTTTCCAAGAAAGTTTTTCAAATAAATATTTTGATACATTTAAATTACATTTAATTATACTAAATCGTATGCAAATCTCTCATTTGCATATATAGTTATGAGTGTTCTGAATTTTTATTCTTCATAAATGTCTTAATTAAGTATCATATTTATATTCCAGATTGATATTTTGATGCTTTTGTTAGTTAATTCAAATTTAAAAACAAGCAATTTACTTTTTATTAAAAATTATTTTTTGTAATTTCAAATTTTTCTCGGTTTCTCCCCTTTACGTTTGTTGACAGTAAAAAATGTTATTTGTATCATTTATAATTGTGTTATATGTATTTTTTCTACAGTAAAACCTTCGTTTAAAGGTTTCTTTCTAAATTATTTTATATAATGCAACATATATTTTTTTTATTAAATTTTAGTTCTTCCATCTACCAAGTAGTGAAAGGTTTCTAAATTTATTAAAGTCTTGATTTTCATGGTTTTTTTAAATACCTTTGTGACTTTTTTACACGTTTTCTCTCTTATAAACAAAATTTTAATTAGTTTAACACGCTAAATTTACTGAAATAGTCTACAGTAAACACTCCAAATGCATCTACAACTTCATACTCCTCTTAATTTACATGCCATTAACGGATTTTTTTTTACCTGTAGGATCATTTACATGGTCATTTAACTGTTACTTTTCATTTTAAAAAAAGAGTATAAATCGAATTTCATTGATTACTTTCTCTCTACGCTTAACAGGTATAACTAAATTCGTACATCGATTCGAATTCTTCATCACCTCTATCGACTTTCTATTGCTAGTCTGGTCAGATATTCTCCTACTTTATACTTGTCTTTTGAAAAATGCTGTTTAAACCCACCCCCTTTCAGCTGTCAAGTATAACGCCTATTCGATTATTTCACTTATACAACGTTAAACTTTAATAAATAAACTCAAAAATTAAAAAAAAAATTATAAATTAAATCTGAAAATATAATTTATATAAACATAGGTCGTTCTCCGCTATATAAGTTATATATAAGATAGAAACAAAAAACTTTGAATATTTTCTAAAGATGATTGGTTGAAGATGTCATTTTCTCGTCGCTGATTGGTTATATAAGGAATATAGGCGTTTTTGCTTCATTTTATCTGTTTAATGAACTGCTTTTAAAATATTTTTGCCAGTTGCAGTTTAGGGGTTCGAGTCCGAATATATAGCTTAGGGCCTCATATTTTTAAAAGTATTATTTGGTGAAGAGAAAGGCCGTTATATGTTATAGTTTTGGATCACAAAAAGTCTAAGTCAAGCCCTAATTTAGTTCATCATTTTTCATATTTAGCGAAGGCCCGCTTATTTAAATTTCTTTCAGGTTTTAAGGTTAGGTAACGTAGACTTTTATAAAGAGTCTCGCGCTTTTAGGGCCTCATACCAGCAAAAATCAGAGCCGAAATTAGACTTGATTTAATATTAAACTACAACTTATAGGAGACCCTACATCCTTTACAAAGTAATTGTTTTAATAAAAACGAGGCCCTAACCTATCGCTTGTTATTTTTATGTATTAATCCAAGCCTGTAGTTTGCCTGAGTTGTGCAAGGCCCTAGAAAGGTTTATGCTTGTAATATACTACTACTATAAAGTTACATTATACAGTAAAACCTGTGTAAACCGAAATCGCAGGGTACTAGATTTCCGTTGTGAACAGTTTTTAGCATAAAAAAGTTCACTCCGTTCGAAGAATTTTTTCCATTTCCGTATTATTCAAGTTCCGTTTTGGACAGGTTTTACTGTAATTATGTAAATAATTCATCTTAATGACATTTTTTAATTTTTTTAATGGTGGTAATATAAAATTATAATTAAATTGATGAAAATTTATGTATTTTTAATAAAATTATATTCATAATTATATAAGAATTATTTTTATACAATAAAATAACATTTTCATCCTACATAAATCCAAGTGTTTAATGAGACAATAAAAATGCAATAAAAGTGATTTTTAAGTATAAAAATAGGAAATAAAATCAGCATTTTTTATATAAAGAATAAATTTTTTTAAATATACAGTCAAACCTGTGAATAACGGCCACTAAAGGCAACATAAAAATGGTCGTTGTTCGGAGGTGGACGTTGTTTGGAGGTTATTTTCTGTGCATTTTTGTTTAAAAAAAAACCTACATTCCTGAAAAAATGGTCGCTATTTACAGGTGGTCGCTATTTACAGGTGCTAGGAAGTGGTCGTTATTGAAAGTTTGACTGTATTTTTATGTATTTTAAAATTAAATTGTGATTACTTGTTTTACATTTTTTAAAAGATTTTGTGCTAATTTTTTCTATATTAAATTTACGAACAGGTCGGCAGACGTACAGATTTAAATTTTAAAATAAAAGTTAATAATAATTTTTATATTTTACGTATTTAAAGATAGATTATATCAATATAATAGCATTTCTAATTTTTCTGTATTGAACTTACAAACAGATCGACAGCCTAACGGATATTTTATATGTCTTAAACGTATACTATAGTCATATAGTTTTTTTATAATAATTTTTTTATACAATAAATTTACAGACAGATCGACAGAC